ATCAATCGCAACAGCAATCTCAAGCTTGGAAGTCTGGCAACCAGTTACAATCTAATGCTTCTAGACCACCTCAGGGTTACAAACCACCACAGTCTAATACTGCAGCAATAGTTTCATCAGGTCCTTTCACCGATTCTAGTACCTTGGTTGAGCAATTTCAGAAGTTTCTCTCATTACAACCACAAGCTATGTCTGCTTCTTCTTTAGGAGGTCAGTTGCCTCATAGTTCTCCAGGTATGTCACATTCTGTATGAGTCTTGAATTCTGGTGCCTCACATCATATGTCTCCAGATTCTTTATCTTTTGCTTTTGTATCTCCTTCATCTTCTATTCCTGTTATAACTGCTGATGGCACTCCTATGCCTTTAACAGGTGTTGGTTCTGTTGTCACACCTCACTTGTCTCTCCCTAATGTTTATCATATCCCAAAACTCACATTAAATCTTGCTTCTGTTGGTCAGTTATGTGATTCTGGAAATTTAGTCTCATTTTTCTTTTCTTCTTGTTATATGCAGGATCTGCAGTCTCAGAAGCTGATTAGGACAGACCGTAGGAAGAGAGTATTATATATTTTGGATGAGTTAAAAGTGTCAGTTATTGTTGCTGCTACTAGTGTTGATTTATCTTCTTTTTGTTTGAGTCTTTCTTCTTTTAGTTTTTATTTATGGCATTCTCGTTTAGGTCATGTTTCGTCTTCTCGTTTGAGATTTTTGGCATCCACAGGGGCTTTAGGAAATTTGAAATTTTTTGATATATCTGATTGTAGTGGATGTAAACTGACAAAATTTTCAGCTTTACCTTTTAATCGAAGTATTTCTATTTCTTCTTCTCCATTTGATTTGATTCATTCTGATGTATGAGGGACCTTCTCCTGTTACCACAAAAGGAGGGTCTCGATATTATGTTTCTTTTATTGATGATCATACTCGTTATTGTTGAATTTATTTAATGAAACATCGTTCTGAATTCTTTGAGATATATACAGTATGTCGAGCTCTTGTCAAAACTCAACATTCTGCTGTTATCAAATGTTTTAGGTGTGATTTTGGTGGGGAATACATTTCTAATAAATTTGTTGAGTTGTTTGCCTTAGATGGAACTATTCACCAAACTTCGTGTACAGATACTCCTGAGCAAAATGGTGTTGCTGAAAGAAAACATAGGCACATTGTTGAAACTGTTCGTTCTCTCTTGTTGTCTTCTTTTGTTCCTAGTGAGTTTTGGGGTGAAGTTGTTCTTACTGTTGTAGGTTTGATTAATACAATTCCATCTTCTCATATTTCAGGTGTTTCTCCTTTCGAAAAGTTGTATGGGTATGCCCCTGATTATTCTTCATTTAGAGTTTTTGGTTGTACTTGTTTTTTTCTTCGTCCTCATGTTGAACACAACAAGCTGTCCTCTCGATCTGCTATTTGTGTCTTTCTTGGATATGATGAAGGTAAAAAGGGGTATCAATATTTTGATCCAATAACTCAAAAACTTTATGTGTCTCGTCATGTTATTTTTCTTGAGCATATACCTTTCTTTTCTATTCCATCCACTACTTATAGCTTAACTAGATCTGATCTTATTCGTATAAATCATTTTTCTGATAAATCTGATAGTTTTTCATCTCAGGTTTCTAATACTTCAAATACCAACACTGATCATTCTACAGGTACTGACACTTTACTCTCTAGCACACCTGAAGCTACCTCTTCTCCTATGGTCCCTCAAGCTCCGTCTGAGATTGTGAATCCACCTCCACGTCAATCCACACGCATTCGTAAGTCCACAAAGTTACCAGATTTTACTTATTCTTGTTATTCTTCATCTTTTACTTCCTTTTTAGCTTCTATTCATTGTCTCTCTGAGCCCTCTTTGTATAAAGAGGCAATTTTTGACCCTCTTTGGCAGCCAGCTATGGATGAGAAACTTTCTACTTTGCATAAGACAGGTACTTGGGATTTGGTTCATCTACCTCTTGGTAAGAGTGTTGTTGGTTGTCGGTGGGTGTATAAGATTAAGACAAATTCTAATGGATCTGTTGAGCGATACAAAGCTAGGTTGATTGCAAAAGGGTACTCTCAACAGTATGGTATGGATTATGAGGAGACATTTGCTCCTGTTGCAAAAATGACTACTATTCGTACTCTTATTGCAGTTGCTTCGGTTCGTCAGTGATATATCTCTCAACTTGATGTTAAAAATGCCTTCTTGAATGGGGATTTTCAAGAAGAAGNCACAAGGAAGAAAAGTATATCATTTCTACTTTTCTTTTTTGGAGGATAGGAAGTGTATATGGATCTCTCCTATTTTCTATCTCTTTTACTTTCCATAGTTCCTATCAAACGAAACATTGCAGTACATTACAAAGAATACGTGTTACAATTCAATGAATTAAGTTACGGCTTTGAAAAAAGTAAGATAGATTCCTAATTTTTTCAAGAAATTTCAACAATCCTATTTTATTATAACCTCACATTTTTTTTCTTTTAACGTTGGACACAGTACTAAAGTTGTTCTTGTATCTTGGAACTTATAATCATATGAAATCATCTTCTTAAATTTGTTCTTGTACGTAGAGTNGGTTTTGAAGATAGAGTTGACTAGACAATTTGAAATGAAGGATTTGGGTTCTCTACGATATTTCTTGGGTATTGAGGTAACCTGCTCACCCAAAGGTCATCTTCTTTCTCAGTCGAAATATGTTGTAGATATTCTTGAGCGAGCTAGACTTACTGATATTAAGACTGTAGATACTCCCATTGAGGTTAACGCAAAGTATTCCACTTTTGATGGTTTACCGTTGTCAGATCCTACTTTATACCGTACTATTGTTGGGAGCTTGGTATATCTCACTATTACTCGTCCAGATATTGCATATGTTGTTCATGTTGTTAGTCAGTTTGTTGTTTCTCCTACTACAGTTCATTGGGCAGCGGTTCTTCGTATTTTGAGGTATCTTCGGGGTACAGTCTTTCAGAGCCTTTTACTTCTATCCACCTCTTCCTTGGGGTTGTGTGCATACTCTGATGCTGATCATGGCAGTGATCCCACAGATCGCAAATCTGTTACTGGTTTCTGTATCTTTTTGGGTGATTCTCTTATTTCTTGGAAGAACAAGAAACAATCTATTGTTTCTCAATCTTCAACCGAAGCAGAATATCGTGCTATGACATCTATTATCAAAGAGATTGTTTGATTACGTTGGTTACTTGCAGATGTGGGAGTTTCTCTTTCTCATCTCACTCATATGTATTGTNTCAGAATATCATGCTATGACATCTACTACTAAAGAGATTGTTTGGTTACGTTGGTTACTTGCAAATATGGGAGTAGTTTCTCTTTCTCATCCCACTCCTATGTATTGTGACAATCGGAGTTCTACTCAGATTGCTCACAACTCGATTTTTCATGAACGAACTAAACACATTGAGATCGATTGTCACCTTACTCGTCATCATCTCAAGCATGGCCCCATTACTTTACCCTTTGTTTCTTCTTATTTGCAGATTACAGATTTCTTTACCAAGTCACATTCTATTTCCCGTTTTCATTTTCTAGTTGGCAAACTCTCGATGCTTGTCGCTGCTACATCGTGAGTTTGAGGGGAGATGTTAAGAAATATAGGGTTATTTTATTTATTAAGGGTAGAATAGTCTTTTACTTTCTCTACCTTGTTTAGCTTATATATAGTCTCTTTGTATTTAGGTTAAATTATTCCCTTGTATTCAATTAAATTATGCAGTATTAATAAAACCCTAGTCTCCTCTCTTTCTTATCTCTTGCATGTCTTTAGATTGTTCAACACTGCGTACTAAGAGCTTTCTGGTATTTGATGATTATGGCTGACTGAAGCTGAGCTTTGTGTTATGCTGGAATGTTGGTGTCTGAAGGTGATGAGTCACACGGAGGAGCTGCCATTGAAGTGCTGAAGATGACTGCTGGGCTTTTTGAAGGATTAAAGCCTTGGGCTGTATTTTTGGTCTGTAAAATTCTTTGTAATTCTTTGCTTCATGCAATAAAATTTCCTCTTCTTACAAAAAAAAAAGGGTTCATTATTTTTTCATGGCTTTAGACTTTCACCACACAAATGTGACTGTTATTTGAATGCTCTAATTTCATACTTTTATTAATGTGATTTTTCTTTTATGTACGATATNGTAAAATTCTTTGTAATTCTTTGCTTCATGCAATAAAATTTCTTCTTCTTAAAAAAAAAAAAGGGTTCATTATTTTTCATGGCTTTAGACTTTCACCACACAAATGTGACTGTTATTTGAATGCTCTAATTTCATACTTTTATTGATGTGATTTTTCTTTTATGTACGATATTTTTTTGTGTATCATTGTATGTATGTTGTATGTTTGTATATGTGCACGCAATGATGTTAACAATTATGACACAAATAAGTATTTTTACATCCAAATTGACTTTTTAGAAAATACTTTAATTTAAGCATTTTTAAATTTGAATGCTCTAATGAAACTGTTTTTTTTTATAAAACACTGATTGAAAAAGTATTTTTTTTTTGATTTCATAAGTCATCCCAAATGCAACTTAAATCTCTAAATATTATGAAATTGGATCAAGACGTTACAGTTTCAAGACCGTCCCTCGTAATGTTAAAAAAATGTGATTTTCCTCACAACACAGGCTGAACAAGCTAACCAGTTGCAAGTCATTAATAAAATTAGCCGAACTGCTATTTTGCTAGCTGTTAAATAAGATACTGAACATAATTCCATATATAAGTTAATAGTTTACAATTCCATAGAAACCAAACTTAACTGCAGTGGCTTAAAAAACATTCAAATTGATCAGAATTTTTAACTAAGAACTTCNCAAAATTAGCCGAACTGCTATTTTGCTAGCTGTTAAATAAGATACTGAACAGAATTCCATATATAAGTTAATAGTTTACAACTCCATAGAAACCAAACTTAACTGCAGTGGCTTAAAAAACATTCAAATTGATCAGAATTTTTAACTAAGAACTTCGAAACATGACTTAAAACTAGACTTGTAAGATAGAACATCCAGTTTGTATCACAGTGAGTAGTAGAAACACAGTAGCCACAATAACTGAAAGAATAGACCACGGGCTGTTGCAATAATTATACCTTAAAAAGGCCATCCATCCATGACGACGATGCTTGCAATACTTGTTAACCTCCTTGAACACTTTCCCATAATAGAAATTTTTAGGATTTACACAGACCACGACGTGATTGCCCATTTTGTTAAACATGGTAGAAACAACTTTATCATCACCTAACCAATTATCAATAATTCCAGAGTGGCGAAGTATTTCGACATCCTTAGGGGAACTGAGGAGGCAATCCATAAAATTCATATAGTCGGTCATATAAGTTTTTCCAGTTTTTCCACTGTATTGCTCATAAGCAATCAGATTTCTGAATAGCCACTCTGTATTATCATCAACTAGAAGGGGAGGGATTTTAATGATACCATTTTCAAATTTAACGTCAAGCAATGAGGAACATTTAGTCTTCTCGAATTTAATCCCGGCTTCTCGGAGCTCTGTAACACTTCTTATGAATTTGTGGTTTGTATCAATCTCATGAGAAGACTCATTTTCAAGATCAATATTGTGCAACGAGGAACTTTTTTTACACTTACTGAATTCAATCGCGGATTTTAGGACCTCTACAACACATTTTTTGAATCCGTGGTTTGTATCAGTCCGAGGAGAGGGCCCCTTTTCAGNAATATTTAGGAACGGATGGAGTAACTAATTGGACCAACTAATTTCAATTAGCTTCATTAAATGATTGAAATGTTAATCTAATAAGATTTTCAATCGTATAACCACTGCGAATTTATTCTAAANCTTATGAATTTGTGGTTTGTATCAATCTCATGAGAAGACTCATTTTCAAGATCAATATTGTGCAACGAGGAACTTTTTTTACACTTACTGAATTCAATCGCGGATTTTAGGACCTCTACAACACATTTTTTGAATCCGTGGTTTGTATCAGTCCGAGGAGAGGGCCCCTTTTCAGCAATAGAAGAATACCAGGCATCATGTACTAGGCCTAGAAGATGATGGTCGTTATATTTTGGAATTGTGGTTGGTTGATTGTTGGAAGTTTGTGAACCCAGAAATATTGAAATGATTTCCCAAAAAGAATTGAGGGCCCAGGAAGCTAAGATGTCTAGTGGATTAACTTGGTTTGAATTTTCGGTCATAACAAATAATTGGATGAGGACAGAGAGTGGAATTTGGTTCTCAAATAACAGTAAGTCACGTTGTATACTTTTCCAAATATTAGGAATTTGGAAAATGGGGTCGTGTTCATCTCTTGAGGTTGGATTGTTGAACTTATGAAATAACTCGATGATAAAACACCCATCCAGTAGCATCATTTCCACAAACTTATCCTTATTCAATTTAATAGGTTCCGCATAACATTTCCGTGCTTCCTCCTCCAAGTTTTCCATGGCTTCGACGTATCTATCCACATTCACATTTCCTCGTTTAAGTAGCTCATGTAGGTACCGTAGTTTGTGCTCTTCCATCATTTGGAGATTAACTTTTCCACGGTGATAAGGACCAACATTGAGTATTTCTGGTTCATAGGCTTTCTTATTTTCTCTGCGTAATTGTTCATTTATTTTGAAGAGAAAAGACCCAAATGATGTCGACGATAACGAATCAAGCCTTCTTTTGATGCAAATAGACAGCTGAGACATTTAGTTTCCCTTTCAAATAAATAAAAAGTGGCAAAGAAGTATATAAGAGTCCCTCAAATGATATTTCACATACAAATTTAAAGTGCAAAACTAATGAAAAAACTTGCAAAACATTCCACATGAAGCAAGGTTTAATTTCTATAAAGTGAGCTTAGGACAAGACATTTACGTTGTTTAATACACGGGACTGCAACCTGGAGTAATTTTCTCTCTAACAAAAGCCCTAATCTCAAATAAAAAATGCCCACCATTGTACATTACATCTGTCACAATGATTATTAATTTTACTTTTTTCCATCCATTGTCACATTTTTCATATTGCATATATTGTAACGGTTATGATTTTCATTTTATCCAAGTTGTACACATTGGAATCATGTATTTTGTTATACATTTTGTTATTTTTTGTTCAAACAAGATGGCTGCTTGGTTTGGGGCAATGCAAAACTAATCAATTAGTTGAGGAGAAAATGTGAGAAACTCATTAGTTGAGGGACAAAATATGGTTAAAAGTGTCCAAACATAATTTTTCCCAATGACTAATAATAGAAAGATGTAAACAAGTAACCATTTAGTTAGGACCGTCCAGGACTCATACTCGAAAATTTTTCTGATAAAGGAAGGCTTGATCTTGGCTAAGCCCCATCCCATGGAATAGTCCAGCCCTACTAGAGCCTGACACTTAATCCGGACCCTCCCATGGGGAAATGGGATAGGCCATGGCACAAAACGGGTGGGCAATAAATTTATGAATGAAATATCATATATATAACTTATGAAATAGTTATTTACCCATGGCATGGTTCAAGCGTAAGCCAATTAATTCACACATACATGGCTTTGAACTGGAGGGCTAGGCGTTCAAAAAAAAAAATGCACTCGGGCTAGCTAGTGGACTGGTTGTAGTGGGTGGGCTTTGGGTCGCTACGAGCCGGCTTTCTAGCCGATCCCCCCTTCAATTTTTTTTTCGGATTTTGGGGGCAAAGTAAGGATGACAGTGGACTAGAGTGGGGGTTGCAGGAGTAGTTTCTATCCCGTATTAGTTTAAAAAATATTCCTCCATCCCTATTTTTTTTGGGGGGAGGGGAATTTAATTCTCGCCCCCGACCCGTTGGTAAATTTTGATATTCATTCATGTCCATAACAATTAATTTTTATGCTTTTAGGAAAAAAATTGAAAAAAAAATTAATAAAACCTCAAATGAATTTGCAAGAAAGATGAACCCTCATTATATGACAAATAAATCAAAATAAAAACAAAGGAGAGGAAGTAAAGTATTTTTTTTTAATAAAGAGAAGAGTGGGTGGATAGGTGGGATTTGTGATATTATGTATATGTATTAATAAGTGGATAGATGGGTGGGTGGGGTTTGTGTCTTTATGATATATGATATATATATATATATATATGGGTATGAATTTCACAGGTTTAGCAAGGAGTGGTGGAGGCAGAGANATTAATAAAACCTCAAATGAATTTGCAAGAAAGATGCAAATTCACAGGTTTAGCAAGGAGTGGCGGAGGCAGAGATGGGATGAATTTCAGTTTATCCCCGCCTCCATTCTCGCACGAGTTTATACGGGTATTTTCATAAACGTCAATCGTTCAATATGTATAGTCTATTCCGATCCAAAAAAAATGAGTTAGAACGAATACTTGATTTTTTTCTGGTCTACTGCCATCCTAGAACAAAGTGAAAAAACACATACTGCTGGAGATTAAGTGGCAAAATTTTTCATCCAATCTATCACGAATGTTTGTTATTTGGTTAGTGTAAAAGTAATGAGCACAATTAGAAGAGTACTTTGAAAGAATCGAAATACAGCTTATTTTTCAACTAATCAAGACAAATGATTATAGAATTCAACAACTTACTGATTTGCAGCTTCTTTGTCTTGCAAAATAATTGCTTTAATTGGAAGTTTGCGTCACACCAGCAAATTTGTGAAGGCTTTTGTGAGGGGATGTAGATTCAATTGCAACGGAATTGTTGAATGACAAATTAAGCAACGAAGAGCAATTAATTTATAATAGGTCTACTCAACCATATTCCTTATGTGAAGGAGAAGATATTTTTTCATAGGACAATTAGTAGGTAATCGTACGTGGAATCAAAATACCATAATACCCCTCGCTACCCAAGTATGTTTCTTTCCNGGGACAATGCAAAACTAATCACGTAGTTATGGAGACAATGGGAAAAACTCATCAGTTGAGTGACAAAACATAGTTGAAAGAGTCCAANAAAATACCATAATACCCCTCGCTACCCAAGTATGTTTCTTTCCTCACTAGCCAATATGTTTCTTTTTGAAAATGGAGATAGTTTTCCNGTCTAGGGCTCCTACTCGAAAATTTTTTGATATAGGCCATTTTTCATTTTGGCTAAGCCTCATCCCATGGAATAGTGTTGGAAAGAAAATACCCATGTGCCATTAGATTCTACGGGCAAAGTGAAAAAATTTAATATACTTAGAGAATAAAGTGCCAAAACTTTTCATCCAAGCTATCACGAATGTTTTCACTGCGTTAGTGTAAAATTAATGACTATAATTAAAAGAATACTTTGTAGGAATCAAAGTACAACTTATTTTTCAAATAATTCTATAACTTTCTGATTTGCAGCTTCATTGTCTTTTGAAGCAAATAATTGATTTAATTGGAAAGCTTGCCTCACACCAGCAGATTTGTAAAGTTTTTTTGTGAGGAGGTGAAGCTTGAAATGCAGCTGAAATATTGGATGACAAATTTGATGAACAAGAGTAACAAATTTAAAATAGGTCTACTCAACCAGTTTCCTTGTGTGAAGGAGAAGATATTTTTTCATGGGACAATTATTAGGGAATCGTACGTGGGGTGATTATTCAATAATAGCCCATCATTACCTCTACTGCCCCAACATCATCATCATTAGCACCCTGCAATACCGAGCTTTTAACTTGCATAACCCGATGTGTTAATTTCACTTATATCCAACAACCTACATCATCTCCTCAACTATAATATTTTTCCCTCCATTGTCACGTGTTTTCACATTGCACATCTTATTAGAGTTATGGGTTTCATTTATCCAAGTTGTGGAGATTGAAAACATTAGACATTTTGTTGTTTTTCGTTCAAACAAGACGGATGGTTGGTTTTGGGACAATGCAAAACTAATCACGTAGTTAAGGAGACAATGGGAAAAACTCATCAGTTGAGTGACAAAACATAGTTGAAAGAGTCCAAACATAATTTTTCCTAAGGACTAATAATAGAAAGATGCAAACAAATAGCTTTTTAGCTAAGGGCCATCCAGGGCTTCTACTCGAATTTTTTTTGATACAGGCCAGACTTGATCTTAGCTAATCCCCATCCCATGTAATAGTTTTGGGAAGAAAATACCCATGTGCCATTAGANTCTCATCCCTTTATTATAGCTCCAATTGGTCATTAATCATCCAATTATCTCACAATTAATTGGACCAACTAATTTCAATTGGCTCCATTATAAACTAATGAAATGTTAATCTAAGTCAAAAAATTACAAAAATACCTNACTTAGAGAATAAAGTGCCAAAACTTTTCATCCAAGCTATCACGAATGTTTTCACTGCGTTAGTGTAAAATTAATGACTATAATTAAAAGAATACTTTGTAGGAATCAAAGTACAACTTATTTTTCAAATAATTCTATAACTTTCTGATTTGCAGCTTCATTGTCTTTTGAAGCAAATAATTGATTTAATTGGAAAGCTTGCCTCACACCAGCAGATTTGTAAAGTTTTTTTGTGAGGAGGTGAAGCTTGAAATGCAGCTGAAATATTGGATGACAAATTTGATGAACAAGAGTAACAAATTTAAAATAGGTCTACTCAACCAGTTTCCTTGTGTGAAGGAGAAGATATTTTTTCATGGGACAATTATTAGGGAATCGTACGTGGGGTGATTATTCAATAATAGCCCATCATTACCTCTACTGCCCCAACATCATCATCATTAGCACCCTGCAGTACCGAGCTTTTAACTTGCATAACCAGATGTGTTAATTTCACTTATATCCTACAACCTACATCATCTCCTCAACTATAATTTTTTTCCCTCCATTGTCACGTGTTTTCACATTGCACATCTTATTAGAGTTATGGGTTTCATTTATCCAAGTTGTGGAGATTGAAAACATTAGACATTTTGTTGTTTTTTGTTCAAACAAGATGGATGGTTGGTTTTGGGACAATGCAAAACTAATCACGTAATTAAGGAGACAATGGGAAAAACTCATCAGTTGGGTGTTATAGCATAGTTGAAAGAGTTCAAACAAACTTTTTCCTAAGGACTAATAATACAAAGATGCAAACAAATAACTTTTTAGCTAAGGGCCGTCCAGGGCTCCTACTCGAAAAGTTTTTTATACAGGCCAGGCTTGATCTTGGCTAAGCCCCATCCCGTGGAATAGTTTGGGAAAGAAAATACCCATGTGCCATTAGATTCTACAGGCAAAGTGAAAAAATTTCATATACTTGGAGAATAAAGTGCCAAAACTTTTCATCCAAGCTATCACGAATGTTTTCCACTGCGTTAGTGTAATTAATGACTATAATTAAAAGAATACTTTGGAGGAATCAAAATACAACTTATTTTTCAAATAATTCTATAACTTTCTGATTTGCAGCTTCTTTGTCATTTGAAGCAAATAATTGATTTAATTGGAAAGCTTGCCTCACACCAGCAGATTTGTAAAGGTTTTTTGTGCGGAGGTGAAGATTGAAATGCAGTTGAAATATTGGATGACAAATTTGCTGAACAAGAGCAACTAATTTATAATTGGTCTACTCAACCAGTTTCCTTGTGTGAAGGAGAAGATATTGTTTCATTGGACAATTATTAGGGAATCATGTGTGGGATGATTATTCATTAATAGCCCATCATTACCTCCACTGCCCCAACATCATCATCATTAGCACCCTGTAGTTCCGAGCTTTTAAGTTGCATAACCTGGAGTGTAAATTCCACTTATATCCTACAACCTACATCATCTCCTCAACTATCATATTTTTTCCCTCCATTGTCACGTTTTTTCACATTGCACATCTTATCGTGGTTATGGGTTTCATTTATCCAAGTTGTGAAGATTGAAAACATTAGACATTTTGTTGTTTTTCGTTCAAACAAGACGGATGGTTGGTTTTGGGACAATCCAAAACTAATCACGTAGTGAAGGAGACAATGGGAAAAACTCATCAGTTGAGTGACAAAACATAGTTGAAAGAGTCCAAACATAATTTTTCCTAAGGACTAATAATAGAAAGATGCAAACAAATAGCTTTTTAGCTAAGGGTCATCTAGGGCTCCTACTCGAAAAATTTTTGATATAGGCCATTTTTCATTTTGGCTAAGCCCCATCCCATGGAATAGTTTTGGAAAGAAAATACCCATGTGACATTAGATTCTACAGGCAAAGTGAAAAAATTTCATGCACATGGAGAATAAAGTGCCAAAACTTTTCATCCAAGCTATCACGAATGTTTTCCACTGCGTTAGTGTAAAATTAATGACTATAATTAAAAGAATACTTTGGAGGAATCAAAGTACAACTTATTTTTCAAATAATTCTA